CCTGACTGCTTCATGACACTGTAACATGCCCAAGATAATAGTGTGCCTTATTTTCATACAGATAGGAGTGTGTACTTGTGACTACATAATCTGCAAAACGGTTAACATTGGTGCTTGGCATGGGCGTACCAACCGTTATGGCGAGGGGGGCGCTGCCCCCCCCCCCCCCCAGTTTGAGTAGGGGGGGGCAAGGCGTGTCTTTTGCCCCCCCCCCCCCTCTCCTCCCCGAAACAGTCGCCATGGGCAGGGCACACTGGTTGGCGGCACCCAAGGGATAACAAGGGCACCGCCCCTGACCCTGGGGGGAGTCTGGCTTGCCCCCCACTCAAAAACAAGTTGGTACACCACTGGTGCTTGGCACTTGCTTAGATCGGGTTCATGTAATGTTCTGTCCAGCACGAAACATCGAAGGTACAAATAATAAATTTAGTCTAGTCCTGGCTGCATACCTGCTTGTATTTGGCACAGTCTGAGGTAGAACAGCAGAGAATGCGACACTATCATGAGCCCCGCAAATAGATTGCCATCGCTGCTAGCAGATGAACGTGTCGTGAGGTTTCACACATTTCCAGCATGGCAAGTACACTGCATAATGCACACCTTAGAGAAAAAGACTGGTTTTGCAATGCATCTCTTCGTACCAATGTAAGGTGTAAGTAAGAAGGTAGGTTGGTCGTTTTTCTGCTTACGAAAAGGGAAAATAGAATACAGTGTATTACATGTGTCGGGGGCATCCCTTGGTCGCATCCTTTTTTCCAGGTGCATTTCTGCCATGCAAACATATGGCAAGTCTTTTATGAGACGTTTTAAGACACCAGGCTTGCTTGGAGGTAGTTCCGGCGGCTGAAACTGAAAAATACAGAGCTTGCATTCACATATCACCAGCAACAAGAATAGAGCAAAGGCAGTCAATATATATGCCACTCCACCTAAGTGTCTCCTGTAATGCTCTCCATCCTGTGAAACAATTTCCGTAGTGTAGTAGACACGAGTCGAGGGATGTACTGAGGGTTTATTCCAATACAGCAGGTCAGAGGGACATGACCAGCTGCCAAGATTCCAGCTTGCCGAAGAATGGAATGCACGAGCTCCCGTGTCCAAGCTCGTGCTCTGCTGACCAAGGCGACGACGGTCTTTTGCAGTCGCCACACGTAGTGTAAAGGAAATCGATACACCCAATGTGATTTTCCTTTACTTGTAATATAAAGTGGTACAAAAAAGGTGTAGCTTAAGGTTTGCAGTCTTCTTGTTATGCTTAAAAGTTCCTTTTGTGCTGTGAAACATCAGTTAAGTACAGAGTTGACTGGGAGAAGTAATGGTGAAGGCTGTGTGAAAAGTCATATGTGAAATACAGGCATATCTGGCAAGACAGGAACATAAATAGAGAGACACGCAGATCACCGTGGCTTTTTGCAGGAAACAGGTAATCGAAATTAATACGCCTCGCAAGTGGGCTCATTTTCGTCTTCTGCGCATGAGAAAGGAGGCGCGAAGGCGGGAGAGGAGGTTGATGACGATTCCGGCTAAGCTCCGCCCTCGCACATGTCGGGGAGGCCGGGGGGTAAACAAACATCGGCGTCGGCCATGGCGGCCGTGCTGTAGCGGCGACCGCGAGTCTTTTATTTATTGTAGCCCGGTTTAAATTTGCCGGGTTCAGAAGATCGAGCAGCTTTGTGCCCCTTACGATTCCTCCGTCGTCTGCTAGAAGCATTTCGAAGATTCCAAGATGAAGACGACGAAGAGCATCAAGAGAAGGCGCTTGCCTAGCCTCGCGATTGAAACGCCGGTTGCGCCGGTCACTACGAGACCGCCGCCCGATTGTACCGGTAAGTTGCCTTTTATCTTGTTCTTCCTTTACGAATACAACAGATTTTGCCTTCTAGCAGGTCTTTATAAATCTTGTGTGGCGGAGTCGATAGGCGCTATTAATCAAAAAACAGCCGAGAATGTAGCGTTTTCGCGATCCTCCGAACCACATCTTCGCAGGTGATATTTAGAAATATATACTCGTCATTTCGACTCGAAACTGCACGGAGGCCGTATAAATTATGTTCCGTTTCATTTTAGAGGCGATCGAAGTTAAATCTACATGGACGAGTCCCGAGCTTTGATCATAGCTGCCATGCATGTGTGATCTTGCAGTGCGTTCTCGCGTTTGTAATTTTCGCTTCGTTCACACTTAGATGAGACGCAGTACAGTCATACATCGTATTTGGTATAGTAGTTGCAGTCTACGGTTATAATCATGGCACTGTAGAAAAGCACAGAGCTCAATACTTACCACAAAAACGCGATCGTTTTTTGTTTTTGTTTTTTTAAGGAATGAAATTGGAATGGCTGTTACGTGTAATACAGTCAACCAACTCGGACAGTACAAATTTTCCGTTTCACATTAGCCAGTATGAGTGAATTGCCAACGAAGTACCGATGCCGTCTTTCTGCAAAATGTGTTGCGCAGTGTATCTTCGAACCACATCGACGCTGTCAGTGTCTGACGTGTTTTGTGTGTCACTTGTCTCCTTTTTCGTTCCCATACCAAGATGAAAATTCGGATATCGTGCACTATCCAAGCCTAGCTAATGAGCGCCCCAAGGAATTGACATGGGAGTAAACAATGGCTAACATGTATGTACATATTTTTGTTTTGTTCGCTCAGCAGACTGGGTCAAGCAAAAGCCAGTGTGTAAGTGACAAACTTTCTAACATCATTTGTCATTTCTAGGTCCCAGATGGGCTGTTGACATCCAGAAACACTCCAACAGATGGTGGTCGTACAGCGATTGTGAAGAATGTGAAGACAATCCCATTTGCATCCACATTCCTAGTCCACTCATTGATAATCTTTCCTTGTTGCATCAATGCCCAAGTATGCCAGGCACTGAGCGACTACTCGCATGTGTTAGTGATGGTGGCATGCGAGGCTTCAGTATTGTCGCTGCAGATAGGGCTCACCCTCACACCAAAGCTGTTGGTGGTGTACTAGTACCCTTCCATGGAATTGTTTGGTTGATCCCAATTTCCTAGAAACGCCAATATTCAGTTTGGTGTGCCTTGCGGCTGAAGTAGATTCGTCAGCGAGGTCTAGTCTCTTTCCTGGGGGTAATACCATGTCAGCTGCTTTGCATGAGCCACTTGGAAACTGTTTGGACTGCTCTAGAGCACTTGTAATTGACCTTAGCTGTTGTATCCATGCTAATGCTGAAATGTAAAGTTCACTGAACCAAGTTTTACTAATAAACCAAAACAATCAGTGGATGAATGGCTTTATTTGTTTTCTCGAAGTATACACTGTTTCATACATAATACATGATGCTGGCAACGCTACTTTCATTAGCAGACAGCTCAGTCTACACTCTGTTTCACGATAGCTTGGTAAACTGTGGAGGCTACGGCTCCTGCGACCCAGTAAGAATGTCGGAGCGAGGCACATGGCAGCATGTCACAGGAGCATTTGTGTCACCGCGCCAAATGCAAGGACCACCCACCAGAACCAGCTGTCGTCTGCTCAGAAACCAAACAACTTCGGATGGACGTCCACTTCAGCAACATTACCGTGCGCTAGAGTAGCGAGCTCTTCAGTAACACTTTTATGAGGCAACCACATGCTCAATTTGCCCATGAATCTGTGGCGGGTTCTAATGCTAGGGCGATGTTTTGAGCGGAAGTGGTCGATTCACGGCTACGATTGATTGAACATCGATCACAAGCCATGTTTTTCTCAAGAGTGTTGATCTATATTAAGTGTTGTTAATAAGTAACACATGTCTTAGTCTTTCTTCAGTGTCGTGTAGTGTTGCGGTCCGAAGAATCCGACGGCAACACTACTAAAAGAAGAAGAAGAAGAAAAAAGCCTGGAACTATGTTTTGTCGCAGATGGCGCTTTTGCTGTGGCGATAACGAGGACTCGACCGTGGTATGTTGTCATGTGCCTGGCTCCGATGCTCTTATTGGGTCGCAATGTTTGCCAAGTGACCGTGAAACGGAGTATAATGCCTCACCTGTCCACACTATAAAACAAATGAGATGCCAGGTGTAGCCACTCTCGCAGCTGTAGCCCTTACATTATTGCTTGCTATGATGTTTGGAAGAATACATAAAAAATCAGTTTACAAAGCCAAATCTAATTTTTTGCACTCTTGCATGTTATGAAAATAAAAGCATCACGCCTGAACACCAACATCTGTCTCTAAATTATTCCTTGCTGAAATGAAAAATAAATATACTGTGAATATGAACCGATACAATCTCAAACAGGTTTAATAACGGATTCAATAAACAATTACTTCAATCTGCAAGCTTGAAATCTAGTATGCGTGTGCAATAAATACCCTGGTCTTTCGACTATCCCCGTTGACACTTGTTCTCGAAGGATAGGGACTTCGTCGATTTCACGGCAGTTCAAGCATTGGTCAGGTAACATGCTCGTGTTTATAGTTTCGGCTGCGCTATAGGAATAACAAAAGTGAGCTGTGTATTGCTGAGTCAAAGCACAACTCTCAAGTCTAAACGGCTTCTTAAAAATGCACTAAAGCTGGTTTTGACTTCATAATTATGTGACTCGAACATAAACTACTCACTTCACCAAGTCTAAGGATTCACAAATAATCTGTGAACATGTATTCTGCTTTTATCTTGATTCACTTATGAAACTGATTGCGTATATAAAATATCCAATCAGTCTTCCACACCTCCCCATTGCGAAAAGGAAGAGGGAGATTCCTTGGCTTTTTTTTTTTCTCGCCAAAAAGCAGAAAAAGAAAAGGAACAGGTTTCAATGTGCACATTACGTTGAAGTGGGACAGTTACGGAAACAAATTTTGCATCTTCAAAGTTCATGAAGTAGGCAGATTACTTTCCAGTCATAAGAGAATAAAGTCAGAAACAACTTCAACTCGCCTTCAGTCAGATTTTCCCTTTAGATCCAGGGACGTTTCACCTTCATAAGGTCACCAGTACCAATTGGCATCCATTTAGGACTCTGTAACGGTAGATGTACAAGCTTGACCTCAAGGTTGCAGTGCCCTCCTTTCATGTGCTTGCAGTGCGACCCCCTCGTACACTTGGTCCCAGATGGTGAAGCTGGTGCTGGACAAGATGTCGTCTCCTGTAAAAGAGTCATCCCAGTAGTCAAACGGTCCGGTTACACCCTTGAGCAGCGTATTTGTCCTCCCATGCCATTACCAACTTAAAATCAGTGAAAGCTTATTTTGAAGCAACAGAATGCATAAATAAACATGTCTATTCCATTCCCTTCGTACCGAACCCCTGCCAGCATCCAAGGGATGCAAATCAAAATAAATAACATTGCATTATTTGCTCTTTTGAGACTCCTTGAACTTAAACCAACTCAAACACTACCACAATTTTAAAGCTGGAAACTTCGAGGACACCTCTCCATATACTGAGATTACATGCTTGTCCCACTCCTGGCTTGTCCTCATCCTGGCTTGTCCTCAGCAGGGTTGGCCAGCGTGTTCTCATACTCCTGGGTTTTTAGTCTTGGAAGTTAAAGCTTTGGTTTTTGTCATTGCTTGGTTGCTGGTAAATACTGGAGGAAGCTCGTACTGTTACTTTGAAAGATCAAGTTTACAAATTGAGCACTAACCCATATTGATGGCCGGATACAGAAGCTAGATTTGTCATGTCAAGGAGGTTGTCATAGAACAGTGGGCACGGGACTGAAATTAGCGGCGGAGCGGGCGACCGAGGCGCATTTGGGAGTATCGAAGAAGGCAAGGTGTGTGAGTTTTGCGCGAAAGCAGGACGATCGGCCAGAGATGTGAGAATGTGGCGTCGAAAGAACTTCAACCGGGCTGACTTCATGACTGTCATCTGAGCCACATTAACCAGAGGAGGAGAGAAAGTAACAAGTGAACGACACTCTACGGCCGAAAAGGTAATTGACCAGGTTATTTCACCCAAGCACCACAGTAGTCATATCAACGACCAAAAAAAAACAACGTCCAAACATCAGCACAGCAATACCAGCAGCGTGCCAAGGAATCGGGTTGTGTGTATGTTTATACAGTCTCAAACTCGATCTGCCTCAACGGGCGATGACTCTCCCAGCTGTAGATGACCGCTAGCCTGGGGCCCTTAACGTGCATCACGTAGTAGTGATACACGACCGCACGCCGGTACAATGCTCATCCAGATCGAAACGGGCAAATGTGGGGCTTGAACACACGGTCCTGGGTTCTGCAGCGCGAGCTTTCACTCCACATTCTCCGAGCTGGTGCGTGGAAGCCCTCTCGGCCACCAATCCCCCGGTGCCAAGGAATAACATATAATAAATAACAACGGTACAGTGGTCTGCAACAGGTAGCTTTTCAGTGCCTTGAGCAACCAGGTTGAGATAACGTGACACTTTCCTGCCATATGTGGCTTGCAAAATAGAGATGTATAAGTCATAAAGCAAGTAATACGAAGTTCTTTTACTAAAGATATCAGCATTTGTATTTGGCTTCCACAACTTCTGAAAGCTACCTCTGAGTGCATAGAGCGGTTCCTTTATAATCTTACCTCCATGGAGAACTTCCCAGCTGGTAACGGGGCCGTGAAACGCAGACCCCCTGGAAGTCGCACAGGCGCCGAGGGCATTACACAGGGCCTGCAACATGTCCTCCGAGCAGAGGGTCCTTTCAGTAGCCCGGCAGCCGGTGGATTCTGTTGGAATGATGGGGTAGGGGAAACACAAGCACTTGCAGATTAACGGACCTAAGAAAACTAGTAGGCAGGTACGAAAACATGCTACTCGCCCCCGCAGCGTTTGCCTCATTGGCGCTTTATGGTGAAACAAATCAGCGGTGAGCGACTGATGGAACACGCGTCAGAAGAACAGTGCGTCTTCAGTTGAACACCTTAGGACGGCGCTTTATCGCGTGCGTGAAGCGTTGGCTTAGGCATGTTTTTTTGGGGCCGGGGGGGATCTGGGGTGCGAGGTACTGAACCCCCCTCCCTCGCTACGCCACTGGCATGAAGTGACATCGGATGACACTTAGACACGGCGCTATCACTGCTAAAATACGCTACCATCGAACACTGAGTCGTGACTGCGAAGTTTATGATCCACATACAGATATCCTACCACACTATCTGTTTGGACAAGTGGCATACAATCTGTCGCTGGGGGAAAGACTAAAAACAGACGACTGCGCACTCGGCTCGGTCGTACCACACCAATCGCCCAATCCGCCGCTTTTCCGTAACATTCCGTTTTACTTTGCTATACTCCTTTCACGTGCAACTGAACTGTTTGTGAATGATGCGAAGTGTACAGAGACGACGTAACTCACCCCAGCGAGCGCCATGGCGCAGTTCTCCGGGTGCCAGCGCTGCGGGAGATCGGCCTTCGAAAGCTCGGCAGCCCGTTCAGCTCGCCGAAGAGGGCTGTAGCTACACTTCGATGCTTCACGGAGACACCGAGACACTTGCTGGCGAAAAAGGGTCTCCGCCAAAAAGTAGAAAGGCTCACTCGCGTCGCACATCACCGTGCTGACGTTGGGGGGGCTCACATCCGACCGCCGGAGACCGGGACGCATATTGGTGCTTCGTATGCTCCCAGGGTAAATTCTTTCGCGTCAAACGAAGTAACGTACATTTCGAGGTATTTCGGGTCTCTTTTTTCCGTATGCCGCGTCCTCGTTCAAGCAGTAGCAGTGGATTTCCGAGAGCCACAGAAAAGGCCTTTCGCAATGGCTGCGGAGAAAAGACGACACCGCTTTGTTTACCCCCGAGCTCCCGCCAGCTCCCGCCCGGAGCCATCCTCCAATCAGAGCGCGGCGAGGTGACGTCACGCCACCGGCCTGCGCGAAAGAGCAGACGGCTTTCCCTCCGTATGGTTCTGCGAAGTGAAATTGCAAAGGGCAAGGAAGTATCCTGGAACAGATTTTGTTCGTCCATTCCCTACTCCCAGCTGTATCATGTTTCTGGATGCTCACGAATAACCCAACTGTCAACATAGATAGAATGGAATGGCACATTTATGCAGTAAGTCTACATACCTTTGAGCAAAAGGGTAACTCCACAATCTTTGTTGGAGCATACCTTGCCTTGACCATTCCTTTGGCGTGCTGACCCCAGCTCTGCGGTACATCCGTGGAGGACAATGTCGGCAGCTGGCGAACCCTGTTCACATGGAGCAGTACTCCAATCCAGTGTTTGCATCGATGCGAGTTTCTGGAAGAGAAGAATGTTGCAACTTACAGTTTGCCTATTTCGTAATAAAATATTTAAGAAGTTATTGCTGTCTACAGTGGGAAGACCGGTTCCATTTGTTTTTAAGCTACACCTGGAAGTGCTGCTTAACCCAATTAGTAACGGTGAGTGTTTTGTCAGGGAATGTAAACAGAGCATCAAGATACCAAGAGCTTGTAGAAAGAACTAGAAACCCCCCCCCCCCCCCCCCCCTGAGGGCCTCAGAATGGCAGCCAATATTTCGCTTACTCAGCTGCTGATATTTCTGAAGGTGTCGTAACCAAACATCAGCTGCCGCTCTGAGGTTTCCCATCGGTTCCATTTTGAGTTTGATAAGACAGATTTCATACGAAAATTATCAGTAATTCTCTAACACCTATCTTATTTAGTTACCAGTGTGGGATAAACAAGCTACCTGAATAGAATTTAACAAAAGACGTTACTGCAAAAGTCTTAATTTCCGAAAATTTCGCGATTTAAATAAATCGGGGAAAATTGATTGTCAGTAAATCACATTATGGTGATAATTAGATAGCACAACGCTCCCGATGGCGAAACTGTGCAAGCAAAATATTACCGAACCCGACACTTCGCGAATATCGAGCCCGCGAAACGAAGTCGTTTTACCGGACGTGCAAAGAGTGGATGGCGTTTAAGAAAATTAGCAGCGCAAAAGTTGCGCAATTCTTGCCTTGCAGTAACGTTGCATCACATTTGTGGAAGGTGAACATTTCAAGCTGTAGTTACCCGGCAGGGCACGTGCAGGAAAGTTCGTCGACTGTAGCGTTGTTCGTTAGCTTGAGGTCCACAGTGTGGGGGTCCTTGCTTAAAGGGGCCCTGCAATGCCTTTTTACTAATTCTTAATTTGCACCGAACCTGAGCGCACTGAGCGTAGTAACTTAGTGAAACTTTTCTTTTCTCGAAATTCTCTTTATTTTAAAAGTTATAGGCAAATTAAAATTACAAAAACAAGCAAAAAATAACCTCCCCCATGACGTCCTTGGTTGCTTGAGAGTGGCCGTGAACTAGAGGAGAAGTAGTGAGCTCATCGAGCGCTCACGGCTGCCGCACTCCGAGTCGACGGCGCGAGAGGGCGCCATCGAAGCGTGTTCTGGATAGGCTGTATGCAGCGGGCAGTCAGAGCGGCTCTCATTGCATTGGCTGCGCGATTAAATACTAATTCGGCATGACACTTCATTGGCCACAATCGGCAGCAAACACGGGGTTAAGATCAGTTCAGAATGGGAGCTACTTTGTGCTGCCATACCGCGAAACGGCCAAACCGCAAGACAAAGCTTCTCGCCGAAGGCCTCCGGAACGCTCGGAGCCGGTCGGATCCTCCTGCCCAAACGATAGCAGCGCCGCCGCGTACATCCGGGACCTTTCCGTGTCGGCGCCTGATCCCACTACTCCTTTCTAGTATGCGACGCCTTTTCCACCGCTTGGTGGCGGGTATGTCGACGGGTCATTTCTTGTTTCCGTACTTTATGAACTGCTTCGTTTCTTTTTTTATCTAAAATACTGAACAAAAACTACTTTTATAAATAATTGAAACGGTTCGCGCCAGTTATATTTTGTATTTCGACTAAAAAGAAGCTTTTAGCGGCTCTGACCAGTAGTAAGCCCAGCACCAAAGACGTCACATTTTGCGCGCTTTCGGTACCGCGAGTCGTCCTCGTCGGTTGAGGAGGTTTCCGCGTCGTCCGGTTAAAATATGACGCACTAATATTTAGTTACTCTCTCCATGTCCGCTGGCTTGCCCGAACCCCAAGAGACGTGGAAACCCCAAAAATGGTAGACGCTTAAATATGATTGCAGGGCCCCTTTAATGCCGGTGTCTGCAAAACGTAGCTCGGCACGTGAACGCTCGACGACGTAGTTTCTGGGACAACTACGCTGCATTTGATAATGTGTCCCGCGTTGACGAGTTCTTCGCCTTCGACAAGACACCGCTTTCCGTCACCAATGTATGTCATAATGACATACAGCGGCAGCCCAACTGAAACAAAGCATCACATGTCAACCACTGTAGCAATACTAAGCAAGTATTCCGCGTGGCATTCGTTGCTTTGGTGCATATACACTCTCGCGAAACGATGCAGCCGTTCACAAAGAAACAAGCGTTCGACATAAATAGTATAGCTTACCCGCAATCAGGCCCTCGTCGTCGGTGTCCATGCTTTCCCGTGCTCCCGTGGCAGACGACGCGCGGAGGTATCCCCGCTTTCGCAAGTTTCCAATTTTGGCCGCACGGTGGCGACACGGTTCCATCTCGAGGCGGATAGATATACTCGGCGACTGGAGGGTACACAGCCTGACGGTGGCGTTTCGTTACTCCAGTGATATCGTGCTGGTACTGCCCCGCTTTTGAAACGATATTGTCTAGACATCGTGTGGATGGGCGTATATTCTGAGTATTTGCCAACAATATTGTGTAGATCCGCGCCTAATATTTTTTGTGCCGCTTTTGTAGTCATACCTTGAAAATAACTTCACCGTTATCTAACGTTATAAAGTGTAGTATTCAAGTTTATTTAAAACAAAACAGCGTCTGCCCACACCCGCTGGGAGCCCGGCGATCGCAAGAAGTTCGCCGGACCGAACGTACATCATAAATATACGTGACTGGACGGAAGTAGCCGAGAGCTTAATCCCCCTGCTTAAGGTACTTCCTAACAATGCTTGTTTATTATATTTTTTCTGTAAAAACGGTTGAGAAATTACTCAGGTTTCTCGAACGATCGCGAATCTTGGCAGACCTTCATATACTGAGTTTTGGGAGTGAAGGCAACGCAAAAAGGTCAACTTTGCGTTGCCCTTTGGCACATGATTCTTGTAGTCGGGCACAATCTAAGGGAGCACCAGATGAGCCTCAGAGCGGGTGCTGAATTTTGTTGCCTCCTCTGAGTGAGGATGCAAGTAATGGGCGAGAGTTCCTACGTTGGGGACAAGTGGGGACAAGCCCTTTCTTCAAATGCGTCAAGTGTCCTTCAGCTTCGAGACAAAAAGAAACACCAGTCTTCAGAGATAATCCCGAAGCTGCTCAGCCTCAGTTGCGACGTGTCTTTCCGCCCCCGCGCCGTGACGAAGGGTTGTTGCACTGGGGGGCTCGTGAAAATTTAAGGAGTTTTGAGACCCTCCAAGCCCTTGTCGTGACCGTATACAAAAAGACGAGAAGCGGGATCACGAGGATGAGGCAACCAGAGGTGCGAGCAGCGGAGACAAGATGTTCAGAACGACGCAAACCTTACAGTAAATAAAATCGTAAGGTAGAGGAGCGCACCTCTACATATTGGTGACCCTGTGACAAAGGACAACTACCCTGACCCAGGGACACAGCTCCAGAGCCTTAGTTTTCGATGAGCTAAGCATTTTACTTGCATCATGAGTCAAGGCGATGGCACCGGCTCTGCTTAGACCCCGTCAATCTTGGGGGCGGCTAAAACGGCCATTAAGTTTCCCGAGTTCTGGTCGGCCGACTCCGAACTGCGGTTTTCTTACGACAGAATCTATTTTCCGAAAGCGTAGAATTACGTCGTCCCCGACGAAGTTTGATTACTTGTATTACAAGGCAGCAATCAAGGCTCAGCCGAACAACATTGCGTAGACGGAAGCCCTACCATTAGTTAGGCTCGGCATACGAACAGCTTTCAAAACAGATATTGTCTGTTGCACGGCCGAGTTGGTGTACTGCATGTCACTGCGCCTGTTAGGAGAAGTCTTCAAGCAGTCAAGTGACACCGAAATTGAAAGCGCCAAAAACCATGTAAAACGACCCCGTATCCTCATGCAGGACCTCCGACCTACCTATCTACACAAGGGTACCGTCGACACGTTACACGTCCATGCCGGCTAATATTCCGCTCTGTACACACGTCTTCCTCAGAAACGACGGAGTCAAGGAACCCCTGCAGCCCACATACGATGGACCGTTTGAGGTTCTAAGACGCAGTGGCAAAACTTTGACACTTCTGGTAAAAGGCAATGAGAAAGTCGTCTCGTTAGAAAGAGTTAAGGCTGCCCACCTTGACTCCGATTTTTGTGTACAAGACGCAACACCGTTTCGAAGACCTCAACAAGATCAGTTTCGTACAGACCATGCATTTAACTTGAGTCGGG